GCTTCCACAGCTAGAGAGCAATGAGATACTAACAATGTCATTGCGAATAACATTAAATGCGAGACTGGATGAAAAAAAGAACTTTCGAGTTACAATAGAAACCAAAGAAACTGCAAATGAACCTTGAAAGAAGTTCTCAAAAGCTGGACCAGAAAAAGAAAGAGTTGGACTAGACATCCAGGCGGCTCACGGCACTGACTACATCATCACAGGCACCTAAATCCCAGGAAAATAACAGGAGAGAGAAGGAAAGAAAAATTCCGCCAACACACCAAAACATTTCAGAAAAGTCTAGACGGTAGATAGCAGATAGGGTTGATGATAGATAACTAATGCGGAAGAACTCGACCCATCGCCGACACGGAAGAGGGGTGCTTCTTCCCGAGGACACCGGGGACTTCGCTCTCGGAATCATCTGGCACGGAAAGTCCCTGTGGGCTGGGGCCAAGCCCCGGGGCAGCCAGAACTGGGGCTGCTAGCAAACATCCCGCAGAAACACCCACAACTGCCATCTCCCACGTCGCCAAGGACCTGTTACGGGCGGACTCCAAGTGCGGCTGCTGAGGACAAAGGCAAGCGAAGCCTGGATCGCTGAACCCGGGCAAGGACACGGACCGCGAGCTCCGCCGGGCCCGGGGTGCAGTCGCGCCCGGCACGCGGCGCACAGCCTCTCTGCCTCTTCGGCTCTCGTGTTAAGGACGGGGAGACAGGGGCGGGCGACGAGGTGAGACGAGGAAAAGGGGGCTCAGAGAAAGGGTAACGAATGCGGAACGAGCATGTGCATGCGCGACGCGTGCACACGTGAGCACAGCTCCCGGGAAAAACAGGCATCGAACGGTTACGCGGTCCCCGTTGTGAGGCTGGGAGAAGGGACAGGCTATATTCAATACTGTTTTAGACTCTTTTCCCCACAACAAACAGATTACTTGGTAATTTTAAAAACATATACTAGAAAATTCCATGGAAGAAACAGAAACGATCATCATGTTCATCAAACACCACGTCAGGGAGGCCTGATTCAGAAGTTCAAAGCTCTGAAGCAAATCTAGCCATTGGCGACAGTTCATTCAAGGAGATTCCCGAAATATTTAGAGCATTCCTGGAAGTTTTTGAATCTCATCCCTCAGAAACTCATGATGTCGTGTCTAATTAAGAACCCTGAATCGACATCTCCACGATCCATACAACAAAACAAAGAAAACGCCATGCAGACACTCAGCGAAGAAGGGCTCTCCTTTTAAATCACTCAGAGGCGGTTACTCCTCAGGGTTTGGACACCGCCTGCTGAGAGTGGCCCAGAGCAGCAAGGAACTCAGCGAATGAGGATTTCCGAATGCAGCCATAAATCTTAGTACTTATCTGATCAAATGGCGAGAAAGTTCACTGAAACATCTTTCTAGCATTATTAGCCAATAATTTTGCGAAGGCTTCATAGCACCAGGAAAAGACAGCAAGTTTTAATTTTAAAACATGACATTAACTTAAACTACAATCACAGAATGCCTATTTAAGGGCTCTATAAGAAAAGAAAATTTTAATATACCAGTTAAAGCTTCAATTTGCTAAAAGTAATGACAGCATCGTGGGGTCCAAGGACCAACTACATGCTTTATCTACATGCCACAAATGTGATAAGGGGCGTGTCATTACACATTACTCCAATCTATTTATTTAAGGGAGCTATCTAGACATCTTTCGACATGTAATTCCTACTGCCACCCAGAGACAGAGTCTCTTCCTTTTCATTTGCTATCATAATAGTTCGTTGCCAACACTTACCCAATATAATCACCCAGCATTCTTCCTTATATCATTCTCCTTCTTCAAAACCTCCCCATGTCACAACCTGACAGATTCATAGTCTCTGGACCCCTCTGCAATGACTGGCCCCACCTGCAGGCTCATCCCAGCCCGCCTCCTGCCCTTTGACCTAACACTTGGACCAGTCATCAAGTCCCTGTTGTCCTTAGCCTGCTACCAACGACCTGACACACTCCAGCCTGGATGTCTACTTTAACATTCCGAGTCGGTCGTTGGGTTCGTGGGTTAGTGAGCACAGATCCTTCGTAAAAGTGTCAATCTGCATTTATGTTTTAGGGGTTGGTTTTCGCTCAGGTGCCCAAGAATATCAGTCGACTCACCATTTTTTAAAGTTAATCACTATTCTCAAACCAATCTGCAAAATCAGACTCGCTCATAATCCCAACTCCTCAAAAAAAGTTATTTTAGATCATAAAATACTTGCAGAGCTCCTCCTTTGGATAGCCAGTGCATGCTGATAAGGAAAGCATCGTAGAATTCTGATCTGTTTCTTTAAATAAAGCTGGAAAAAAGTGGAGTGACTTAGATTTTATTAGACTCATCATTCTGGTAACGTCGCATGTTATGAAATTCAGATTTACAGGCGCATTTATAAACACAAGAGCTTCACTGAATATCTTATCAGGGTTTTCCAAACAAATTTATGGAATAAAGATAAACAAATCTGGGGGAAAAAGCAGTAATCCAGCTGGCACGGTTCACAGGAGAGTGGGAGGCCGTGCCGTGTGGGACGGCCACCAGAGAGCAGTACCCTGAGGCAGAGGCTCCGCCAAAACTCTTAGGCACCAAAACAACCGTTTCTGAACACCGGGAGCTTGGAAGGGCTGCCATATGAGTACAGTCGTTTGCAACCGTCATGGATTTGGAGTGGCTAACTTTACGTAAATGGCCTTAAAAAATACTATCATCAACCTCATGATCTCCTCCCACACCACTAACCTAATCTTAGCTCACCAGGGTCCCTTACGCCCTGGTGGAGAATCAGTCCGTGGGCCCTGGAACCCCAACCCCTGCACCTGGGCGGGGATCCGGGCCCGGGGAGCGACAGGGAGAGGCAGCCGAGAGGTGGGCGCTAGAACCAGTCTAGAGCTGGCAGAGCTCTGCCTACGTGGGCATCTTCCTTATCTCTGGAGGCCTCAGACTCCTCATCCACAAGGCAGAAAATACAATATCCCTAGACTCAGTCATGCCTTGGACCTTATTGCTAATTTCTAACAAAGGGCAAAGAACACTGAGGAGAAATAACAAATGTCATTGATGTTGCACTCTGCGTTTTGCTAAAAGTGTTTCGCGTACCATTATCAGACCTCCATGGCAACGTCCCAGGTGTGGATGGAAATCTCAGGTACATGGAGTCAGACAGACTTGACTGGGACCCAAGCACACGCATCATTAGCTACGTATCCTTGGGAAAGGTCACCTTACGTTCTCCGAGTCCCAGTTACCCTGTCTCTCAAATGGGGTCAGTAGCACCTACATCGAAGAGTCTTCTGAGGGTGAAATAATACCGAATATATAGGGCACGCCTAGTAGACAGCAGGCCCACGGGAGACGGTTAGCAGTGGGGCCCACCCTCAGCGAGAACCCCTCTGACCAGCCCACGTTTTACACATGGGGAAACTGAGGCTCAGAGATGATAAGCAAATTGTAGAGATCACACACAACAAACCCTAGAGCCAGTCCGATACCCGAGGCCAGAACTAGAACCACGAGCAGAACCCGCACGGCTAAGTCAGAAACGAAGGAGAATTCTACGCAGCTACAAGTTCAATTTTACTAACATATTTTCCAAATGAGCCTAAAATAACCCAATGCATCTACAAGCTGAAAGGGAATGTGTCTCCGTGTAATTTTTTATTCTTTCTATTTACTTTCCAGTGACTCACAGAATAATTTCCTTTTTTCGGCCCTATCATTTACTAGGCTGCCTCGACCTCACACGGGAGAGCAACTTAAAAGTCCAGTGACTCTACAGCTGGTGTTCATCTCAGAGCAGCCACTCACACCTGACATGCGAGGGGAAGGGCACTTAATGAGGAGTCAGACAGTGCTCTCCTGGTTTCGGCTTTCTCACTCTTGGGCTCCGTCACCTTGGCCAAGTCTCTTATCGTCTCTGGAACTTGTATTTCGTCTGTAAAGCGACGGACTTGGGCTGTGTTATCTCATTCCTTCCAGAGCTGGATTCAATCACGAGTGAGCCTAACTCGTCCTCGTCAGAGAGCCTGGCTTACACGTCTGAAGGGAGGGACGCACACAGGCTGATGTGCTCATGGCTTTCCTTCCCAGCCCTGTTCCAGGGCCTCTTCTCCGAAAGAGAATAAGGTAAGCCGTCGCTGGTGAGATTTTATCCACGGGACTGCTTCTGCACTGGGGCCAGGTCAGGACCAAATGCACCCAGGCAAACCTTTCTGAATCTTCACTATCTTAAAACATCTGCCCCAGGATATCTAGGACGTGTGTCTGTTTTTTAAACTTCCCAGTGACCTTCAACATCCAGCATCACTTCCAAAGCACAGCTTTCTCTGACGATTGGTCCCTTGTCCCTTCTCAACGACTACGCCTCAGCTAAGGTGGATTGCACGAGCTCACACATTGGAGGTTCATTCAGTACCGATATTTCAAAACAGGAGAAGTAACTGTCTCTTGTTTTACAAAAAAATACTAACCGACTCTGTGTGCAAATAAACATAACTCCGGAAGAGGCCATGAGCGATTTGGCATTTCAGCTTCGTCTGTCCATAACAGGTTTTTGGTTTTTTTTTTAATATATATACTTTTATTTTCCAATTACCGTTGACACACAAAACTTAGTTTTTCTTTAGTTGTTA